TCGCTTACACAAAGCTTTGACACATAGACAAACATTTTAAGATCCAGTTAACTAAGATCAATTATGTCTTCACACAGCAGTATATCCAGTTATACGCTTGTTAACTATAACTTGCACAGTCATCTTAAACTATCCGTGATCAAATTAACTAACTCGGGTAACTGTACGGTTTACAATTAACTTATAAAAACGGTATACCATTCGATATAAATACTACGCTTAATAAATAAGGATTAAGTACGTAATATATTTTAATACGACTCGGGAATCGAACCTATAAATATGGAAACGTTTATATAAGCTAACTGTGATGACTGGGTCCAGGCGATGGAGTGCGAATATAAATACAATAAAAGGTGTCTAAAAAGACTAACAAATATAAGACTAAATAAGAGCAGCTAGTAGAATTAAGTAGGTTTAGACTACGAGAATAATGAAAGTAAAAAAATATTAGAGAATGCAATTTATCAATGAATAATGTTTAATTAAGCAATGGGCAGGGCACATAGCTCGTAGGACAGATGGCCGTTGGGGCAGTAAAGTCCTCGAGTGGCGACCACGGACCGGAAGACGCAGCGTGGGAAGGCCTCCAGCAAGGTGGACCGACGATCTGGTCAAGATCGCGGGAAGGCATTGGATGCGAGCAGCGCAGGACCGATCGTCGTGGAGATCTTTGGGGGATCGCAGCCTATGTCCAGCAGTGGACGTCTTCCGGGCTGCGATGATGATGATGATGAATGTTTAAATTATTAACCGGGTCTTAACACGAATAATTTTATGGCATATAAAGGTATTTACCTCTCTCGAGGTTTCGACTAGGTTGCACTAGCCGTGGTCACGAGCTGACTGGAGCAAAAGCGATGTCAATGTAGATAGGTGACAGCAGTTTTATCTCCATCTACCGTCACTAGATTGTTTAACGAAAGTTCGCGACACAGCACTCACGGTATCCGTACACTTATTGACTATTGATGCTACTGAACTTTGCTTGAATTTATTTATGACTGGATTCCACGCAGATGATAATTTTAAGCCATCCTCTCTGTTGAAATTGGGATGTTTTTTAATGTCAATCGCCTCCCGGACAAGGAGTAACTACCTTTATTTGCCATAAAATTATTCGTGTTAAGACCCGGTTAATAATTTAAATAATGTATATTAAACACGAAAGTTTAAAATGAATAATGCCCAAATTTTAGCACTTCAAATGAAATCTAGAATATTTGGTTAAAAAAACACTACTAATTCAAGTAATATTTATATGGCTATCTTACACTAATATTATAAATGTACGTCTATCTGTTTTTACCTTATCAAATGTGAACAGAATACAAATATTTATATCAATTATGTATATATATATATTAATCCATTGAGGCATCCAAATTAGTAATTTACATTTTAACATCATATTTCTACATCATTCTATTGGATGGACTGTGTGAAAGATGATATGGTAAGAAAGGGAGTAAATAACGCGATGACTGCGATCAGAGATGTATGGAAGAGAATAACATATTACGCCGACCACATAAATGAGATAAGAAGCAGATGATGATGATTTCTACAGCATTCTCTAACATTTTGTATATTTTATACATTGTTCTTTTAGACTAAACCTTCCTGATTTTACTTACTAACTCGTCTTATTTCGCTTTATTTCTGTACAATTTGTCCCTTCAGGCTATATTCTTTATTACAAAGAACGGTCTGTGATAGCTACCTAATACGACAAATATAATAATTTGCGTTTAGTTAACTGCCCGAGAGCGTTCAGTTACTCCTTTTATGAGATTCTGTCTAAATGGGCCCATATTCACTGGGCGTAGACTCGGTAGTGTCATGATGTAAACTAGTTAGTGCAAAACATATAAATATATTATTAAATAAGATTAAAAAAAAACATTTATGGCATGTATATTAAATTTAAAATGGTAGTTAATTCATTGTATAAAATTTTATACGCAAATGTAATATTTGCAAAACTGTAGAGTTTAGAAGCTCGAAACTTTACTTATGTAAATAGTAAGAAAGTTTCATATTTCGCATAAGAATGGTAGAACCGGTACCGCGCGAGTAAAGCCAAAGGTAATATATAATATAATAGCAAGTTTACAAAAAAAAAATTATTCCATACCGATCTTTAGCTTTTATAATATTTTTTCTCTACAGTGATAATAAATTAAAATTTAGTTTTAGAGATCTAAACCTATTTCTTAAATTAAAATGGCCCTTTTTGGACTACACTGGACTGTAAACAGCTTGGTATTAATAATACTTGGCTATAAAAATGGCAATAAAGAATAATCAGACACTATCCGCTAAATATACCCTTTCGGGGATCTACGGTTAGGGACCCAAGTGGACAAAACGTCGGTTGTACAGTAACACTGAACCAAACTGCGCGAGGCACACCAAACATATAATAATAAATATAAAATAATACATCTTAAGCAATCTTAAATACCCTGTTGATAACATTTTTAGAAATTAAAATTTCTCCATTTACAGTATCAAATAAAAAATAAAAGAAAATCAATGCAGCGATGCACATATCATTGCTGCGTACCGCACGCGACCGTGAGTCGAGAACGTGTAAATATACGTGTAAATCAATGGTAACCTCTATGGCAGGGGTGGCCAACAGTTCAGTTAGTCCAGTAGATCGTGGCAAGAAAAAAATATAAATACATTAACCAGATTGCGCAACGTAATCGTAAAAAAGGTTGGCAATTTCCGACTACAAACTTGATTATGCTGAACTAGTGGAAGATGCTCAGACGCTATATTCCCACTGATAAAGGTAAATAAGTACCTAGTTACTAAGAATAATTTTCACATTTATGTTTTCTTAATAAAATATAAAAATACTACATAATTGTGTACTAAACTGTGTTTCATTTAAGATTTCAATATGAAATTGGTAGATCGCACAGGGTTTCAATAGTAAACAGATCTTGGGTTCAATCAAGTTGGCCACCCCTGCTCTGGGACACGAGCGATATGCGAGTGCGAGTATCAGAGTGGGGTAATAAGCATCCAAATTGTTAATTTATCACACGAATATTAAACGTCTAATGTAGAAAACACACCGACACTCGCACCTACCGCGCGGCGTCTGTGGTCCGCTACGACGCTCTCTTACCGTCGATTCAATCTCGAGATTCCTTAATTCCGACGCCTTCACATATTATGTACTACGAACATTACCGATTCCATATATCACTTCTATATACATATATGTATAAAATTGAGAATCCATAGATTTAATAAATAAATAAAAAAATACACACGCGCTGCGAGACAACCTCGCGAGAGACGTCATACGCCAACACAGACGCCGGTGTCAGATATGTGCACCGCAGCACCGAGCGTGACGCGACGCCGCGCGACGTCACGCGATGTCGTGCGACGTCACGCGATGTCGTGCGACGCCGCGCGATGTCGTGCGACGCCGCGCGACGTCGCACGATTGAGCACGAGCGACCGATCGACGAGAGCGACCCTCCGCGGTGACATTCCATCTACAATATAAATTCTTTCGAGTAAACCTATCATTAACGTATATGTCTTTATTACGTATGTTATTTCGTTTTAGCCTAGATATTAAGATTTGTTTTCATTGTTTGTGCAAAGGAAACATTTTACTAATTTAAGATATTTTTGTACAAGATTCCTCATAGACCGCCTCGGAGCGATGCTGCTTCGGAGACAATAGTCCTCGGTGCAGATCGACAAAGTACTAAAATCGAGCACTCACTTCCTAGTTCTGGACTATACACCGACCACTAAACACCATCAAAAGTGGAAATAAAACTTCAACAACATACTAAAGACTTAAGAGATAAGATTGCGTGAAGCGCGGCGGTACGCACGCGTACGCGCGCGTCCGCGGACAACGAAACAACGAACCCATGAGCACCCTATATAAATATTATGCATTAAACTTACAACGTAAAGTAAACAGTCACTCGGTACAACAAATTGCCAGATAGCTAATTAATAACTAACGTTTGAAACGACTCGTTACATCGACAGACGCGTCATAATACACAGTCGAATTGATAAGTCAGTTATTATTTAGCATCAAGTAAGTAGACTTACATTAAAATGGCGCGTGTATAATAAAATATAGATTATATTCTTATGTAAAATTATGCTATTCACTAGCGATCCGAAGCTATGTAACTGATCGGTAACATTTAGTCAAATGCAAGGTGTGCATGGCAATGTTGCGGCGGCCACGGACCGTTCGTACGAGTCGAGTCGAGCAACGTTACACTAACACTAGCCGTGGACCGTCCACGGTCACTGGAAACGACTCAATACTTTGTGTGACAGGACGAAGGTCAATGGCCGCTATGACAAAATGGCCGCCTCGTTGTGACTGTAAAAATAGTTATATCATGTATAAAAAATGCTAAAATTGAATTATAAATAGTGCCACCGTTCCATGTGACGTAAGTAACTAAAACCTAAACAAAGTATACAACATATATCTCATAGGCCGTTCTTGTGACTTAGAAAAATTATGTTACGTTCGGCGACTCGCGCGCGAGCGGCGGGCGGGCGCGGGCCAATTTTTTTTATCAAAATTTGACTAGCCGACACGAATTAGTAAGTGACTAGAACGCGAAACACTCCACTGGCAAGATTTCGAACGACGACGCGGCACGATCCTTCGGGCCGGATCGTGCGAAATTTTCGAACACAGCACTTTCGTATGGCGACCCGAGCGGCCAAACTTATAATACATTAGACGACACCGAAGATCACAGACATTCCGAATATATCGAGGGCCCGCGGCCCGGCCCGCGCGCTGCCGCCGAACGACCGATGGACCGAAACGGAATACATACAATATTTACAAATAAACACTACAAATTAAGCTCCTCTGTTGAAAAAGATCAAATCACATCACCGGCGATCGCTCCACTCCGGTGGGGGGGCCCCGGTCGGGACGGCCCCGGCGGGGGCTCGTGCCGCGTCGGCCGCTCCCACTAACAGAAGCCGCCGAACCCGACGGAGGGCACGGAGGGCACGGCGGGCACGGGCGCGTCCCCGTTCTTGTGCAGGTCGATGAGCGGCGGCGCCGACAGGTAGTGGGCCTGCGGGCAGCGGGGGGATCAGTACCTCCTAGTGATGGGCGGGGACGCGGTGTTGCTACTAAACACTAGCGCCATCTATTCAGACGTTTAGAGAAACACCGACCTACTCTGTTCCCGTCTCTCTTGAATATTCTATTGATTCTATTCTTCTTATAAACTATATTTGTAAGTTGCTGTTTTCTGTTATAAAATACAATACGGGGGCGCAGGAAGGGGCGCAGGTGTCGTAGGAGGAGCGTAGGAGGCGACCACAGCCGTACGGTGCTCATGCTGCGGGGATAGGGGCGTACCTGCTAGTGATGGGTGGGGGCGGAGGCTGCAGGGATGAGCGAGTAGGAGGCGAGCACGGGGGCGGGGGCGGGGCCCGGGGGGCGGAGTCGTACCTGCTGGTGGTGCGCTGGCGGCGGCGCGCCGTAGCCGTTGTAGTAGGTGGCGTTGTAGGGCGCGTAGGAGGCGGGCACCCCGGCGGGGTACCCGTACTGCCACTCGGAGAGGTACCCGGGCGTGGGCCGCATCACGGCCGTGCCCCACCCGCCGCCGTACCCCACGAACGGCGTGCCGTACCTGTACACATCACACCAGCTACAGAACACTACACCAGCTCGCCCGGCCAGTAACATGCTTCGACTGTCGACAGTGACGTCAATTTGTTAGAAAATATAACTTTGTTATTTACCTCCATTTCATACTAACATTCTCCCCATCTTAAAAAATCTAAAGAAATTATTTAGAACAAAGATATTTTTGGCGACACTTTTTATTAAGTTGATCAATTTCTTATCTATGTAATGATTATTTCAAGAATACTTATACGTTAAAAATATAACTTTGTTACTATTACGTTATTTACTTTCGTTTCGTACTACATTCTCCCCGTCTTGAAATAAATTAATTAGAACAAACTTATTCTTGGCTTAATTGATAAATTTCTCATTTAAGTAAGTAAAGGTTATCTCAAGAATGTTTGTATTTTTATTTACTGAACGATAGACTATCATAATTAGATAATATGCTGAAAAATTACTAGGTCAAAAGTACACGTGTCTGACATAATAACAATCTTAGACAACTCACACCGCGCCATCTAATTTTGGTATGGGTATTAAATACATTTCTTTAATACGTACATATTTTACATATACCTAAAATAACACCTATGTATGCACACGGACTTAAGAATACAAATATTCGTGCGAGGATTCGAACTCGCAACCATCAAAATTTAAGCGGTGTGCTAAACCGCTAGACCACCGTCTCAGAGACCGCCCATCATAGGTCTGTTTATATAATATAAAAAGCAATCCTAATGGACATCGGATAGGAAGCACATGTGTAAATGGTCTGACCCGTTGTTGGCGTAGGGCGCCCCGCCGTATGCGCCGTAGGGCCCGTAGAGCGCGGGCGCGTAGTCGGGCAGCGAGGGCGCGGGAGCGGGAGGGGGCTGCTCGCCCCCCGCCGCGCCCCCCACGGGCCCCGCGCCCCCCGCCACGCCCGCCGCGCCGCCCGGGCCCTCCGCGATGGAGGGGATCTGGTCGACGAGCGACTCCAGCCCCGACAGCGACTTGGAGGCGACGTCCTGCGACTTGGTCTTGGGCGCGTACTCCGCGGGGGAGGCGGGCGCGTGGTGCTCGGGGGGGCGGAACCCGGGGGAGAACGCCTCGCCGCCCCCCGCGCCCCCGCCCGGGGGCGTCGACCTGCGACCACACAACATGTTACTACCACTGGAAAAAGTCATCTGCGAATCACTTGCCTTGTAAATGTCGGTTGAACGGTGAGATAAGGCAGTGAAATTACAGGATAGGAGGATAACAGCAAGCCACATCCTTTAACAAAATAGTTCCGTAAACGCTTCACCATGGCTGTGCCAGCCATATTATTCATTTGACCAATAGGACAAGACTTTGACAAAACAAAATTATAACCTGGACTTTTACTATAAAAAAATACAACATTTCCATAGAAGCAGAAGATTGCAATGAATCTACATAACTACACGGGTTTATAATTAAATAAATAGAGAACAAAAAAATTAAAATTGCTAGGTAAAGAAAACAGAGAAGAATGTTTACCTGTTAAAATTGCTAGGATACATGGAGGGATGCTGATGTAGCTGGTCTAACCGTGGACTCTCTGCCACACCATTGCCTGAAAGATGTTGGGAAAACAATTATTATTATGTAATATATTTTATAAGTGTTATTTAGCACACTATATATTCATGAAATAAAAAAATTGTGTGTAACAAAAGGACTAAAATGTCCTACATGAATGAATTTAAATTTAAATCTAAATTTGTAAGGGCGTATTACAACTGAAAACTCGTTACGAGAAAAGGCAAAGGAAAGAACTAACGAATAATAGTTGAATAATTCATATATGTATATATACGTATAATTACACACATATATATAAACTACATACGTATATATAAACACTGTTTACCCGTGATCATGGCAGTTGAAACACTGCCGAAATATTGGGAACTTAGTAAATAAATGTAAAACGTGGTAAGATCCCGTGATTTTTACTAATTACACGTATATAATAATTACCGCGTCAAATTAAAAAAAATCATATATGTATTTGCTAAAAGTGAGAGCTATGTAACTTAAATAACCATACAATCTTATTATAGTTATCACTTTTATAACAAACTAGCTTTTGCCCGTAGCTTCGCTCGCGTCAACTTATCCCCTTAGGGGTGGAATTTATCAAAATCCTTTCATAGGGGACGTCTACATAGTAGATTTATGCATACAAAGTCACAGCTCGATCGATTTAAAATTGACAAAGTTTCATACAAACTTTCATCCCCATTTTATCCCCTTGGGGGTAGAATTAATCAAAATCCTTTCTTAGCGGATATCTACGTCATAACATCTACCTGCATGCCAAATTTCAGCCCGATCCGTTCTGTGGTTTGGGCTGTGCGTTGATAGATCACTATGTCAATCACCTTTGATCACTTTTATAACCAACCAGCCATTTCAGAGATTAGCCGAACAAATAGACAAAAATTGTAAAAAATGTTAGGTGTGTGTACCCTATTTATATTCGTATGCATGTAGTAAAAACGGTCATTTCAATATTACAAACAGACTCCAATTTTATTTATATATATAGATAAATTAAATAGAATTCGAACCTCGAAGCAGGTCGAAGCGAGGGGCGCACTCACCCTGGTCCTGGTAGTGGTAGTGGTCGGTCTTGTCGTGGTCGGGCGAGTGGTGGGGCAGCGCGTGGTGGTAGAGGCGCGCGTCGGGCCCCGCGGCGGGTGCGGGCCCCGGCGCGCCCCCCGCGCCCCCCGCCGCGCCCCCCGGGGCCCCGAGCCGCGCCTCGCCCTCGTACAGCGCGCCCCCGAACCCGCCCGGCGCCACGCCCGCCGGGGACATCTCGCTCACGCCCGGGTTCGTCTGCGGTCACCAGTACTCACATTCAACTAACCGACACCTTATAATGTTCACTATCAATTTGATTCATTTTGTAGCATTTTAACACGCAGTCTACACTCGAGCATTGTGTACTCGATAAACCAAATTAGCTAGCTTTCCGGAACTCATCATTCATACGGAATCATAGCGTCCAAAATGTATGGGTCACAGCAGACTCATATAGATTTTGTATAATGAAATCTGATCCTATCTTTTTGTTCTTAAATTTATTCAGTTTAAAAAGAAAGCAATTTCTTGTTGCTTCTTTAAAAGCTAAAAGGAACAGCAGTGGGGCTTTTTTTAAGTAGGTAACAAAAGCATCAGTATAATTGTCGTCTATTCTTCACAAATAAGATAAGAAGGCATAACATTTTAATCAACCGGAACGACCATACAAAATCATTTTTGTATGGTCCAGTATTACGTGATGTCCTTAGTGCTGTTCATATAACCGTTACCACTTACCATGAGACGGGCCGTCTGCTTTTTTGCTTTCACAATAGCAAAAAAAAAAGTTTTTTAAATTAATTAATTTATTGCTGAGCGACCGACCGGTCTCATTTTGCATTCGATGTATACAGTAATAAACATTACACTTCTACTCTCAAATCGCCAATTCATGACATGACACAAGCAAAATTAACGTTTTTGTAGCTCTAAGAATGGTTGTATATTATTTTTGTTTCATTTTTGTATTATGTAGGTAATATCTATTAAACCGTACATAATTACTTTTAAAGAGTTAATTTGATGAAAAACTTAACCCAGATAGAAACTAACGAAGAAACAATTATCCATGAAAGTACTAGTAGAAAAGATCTGCAATCCCAAATGATTCCTAAATTCACAATAGTTACACACAGTACGAAATATCAATCTGAAAAATTGTTTAATAATTTACCAATACATCTAAAAACTGTTTATAGTTTCACATTGTTTAAGTCCAGATTGAGGTCATATTTGTTGAATAAGTGTTACTATTCCGTAGATGACTATTATAATGATGGACATACAGACTTATAAGGATCTACTGCACTATGCTGGCTGACATACCTAGATTTAATATTTAAGTTGCTATTATGTTGTTGACAAAAATATATTGTAATGTTGCAATTATGTTATCCTACACAATTTGTATTGTTTTGGATGAATAAATAAATAAATAAATAAATATTGATCGCTTCTATTATTGTATATATTATTTTCCTACTGTTATATGTTTAAAAAGACTTATTGTCTGTGTAACGTTAAAAATATGTTTGTGTACTCTTAGATGTATATATATTTGTATTGATTTTGTTATACTTACAGAAAAAAGATTTAAATGTCAAATAAAACACTTCCTTTGCAAAAAAGCTTACTATAAAATTTAAGAGTTCGTTAACGATAATAATGTTTTTGTAGAAAAAATTTAAATACATAGCACTGACAATATTATCTGATTACACTAATAATGAGTGCGTAGCGATTTCTATGTTGATTGTCGCATGCCTCTTACTTGTTACACTGTAATTATTTATATAAAAAAACATCTATTGAAAAGAGCAACACACAAGTTTCTTGCTCATTCTTCTTGTGATGAATCTGCATTCCGAATGAGCGGTAGAATCAAAATATGACTATTCAAAAGTGCTTGTAATGAGTTTATTTGAATAAAGATTATTCCTATTTCTATTTCTTAAATAAAGAACTAAATAAAAATATATATTCGTGAAGTACAGGTAATTATGGGCTAAGGAACAAATAACATAAATTGAAATGCTAGAAAAAATCTTAGACGAAAATTAAGATTAGATAATGTAAACGATCCAGTAGTTTATCCGGAAGTATTGGGTAAGTTAGGGCACCTTGTTGTAGTCGGAGAGCGAGGAGTTGCTGTTGCTGCCGGGGTGCATGTCGGTGCTGCCCATGGGGCTGGCGTCGGGGTCCCTCGGGGGCTCGAAGTCGAGCGCGGCCATGCCGGGGGACACGGGGCCCGGCGACGAGATGGCCGCCCCGATGTCGCTCGACAGCTCGCCGCCGAACGCGCCCCCGCCTCCTCCCTGCCGACCCCGCACCGCCATCGTGTACTCCCATACCATCCCATACACACGCACCCTCACCAAGCTTTCTATCTATCATTTTTCTACTGACGTAGACTATAAAGATTCGTCTATGGGTGCTCCTTCGATCCAGCGCCCGTTCGATTCAAACGGAGATCGAAATTACGACGACATGATCCGAAGTTCGATTCCCTATACATATGCAGCATATGCAGGTCTTTAGACCAATTTAAAATCCAGGCAGAAGTTAGGTTTCAGCTGCTCCATAAGTCCTTCCGCGGGTTTGAATTGTCAGCTGCACTCGCCCTCTATCTTTCAGTAATGTCGCAAAGGTCAGTTGTGGCCAACATCATTAGAAAAAAAAATGCCTCCGATTTAACGATTTCAGTCGCCAAGCCACTCGTTTCTTAAAGTTGTGTTTCGGTTGTAGGGTGAGATTCGGCAGTAAAATATTAGTCAGTCAGACACGATATATCCTAGTCCTTCGGAATTACGAGGCATGCAATATAACAACGTGATTTATGTGGTACTGTTCACAATAAGCTCATTTGCCATTTAAATTTTATAAAACAAACGGTCGCTGTCTGTCCGTCCCTATGTATGCTTAATCTTTACAACTATGCAACGGATTTTGAAGCGGTTTCTTTAATAGAGAGATTTTAGAGGAAGTGTTATATGTATAATAAATGTACACCTGGGCGAATTGTCGCTACGTAGTAAAATGCACGACTGTGCGATACAGAAAATCTATCGATTGAACAGTCCATTTCGGTAGTTACGTTAACGTAGTAAGATCTCGTACTATCCGGTCACGTAGGACCAAATTTGCGTCATGTTTAGTTTTATCGGGCACGTCTATCAGAGTACGGATTCATATCGATTGAATAATCTAATAAGATCTCGTGCTATCCGGTCACGTAGGACCAAATTTACGTCATGTTTAGTTTTATCGGGCACGTCTATCAGAGTACGGGTTCATATCGATCGAATAATCTAATAAGATCTCGTACTATCCGGTCACGTAGGACCATATTTGCGTAAATCTTCAGTTTTATCGGGAACGTCCATCAGAGTACGGGTTCCTATCGATTGAATGACCCAGTAAAATCTCGTACTATCCGGTCACATAGGACCATTATTGTTTTAGTTTTATCGGGGACGTCTGGAGTACGGGTTCGTTCACCGGGAGGGGAGTAATCTCGATCGTCACCTGCGTGAAGTGGTGCGAGTCCGCGTAGGTGGGCGTGCGCGAGGCGGGCGCCGGTGAGGAGTGCTGGCTGTAGGGCGTGTGTGCGGGCGACGGCGTGTAGCTGTGCAGCGCCCCGGCCCCCTGCCCCGCCCCCGCCGCCCCCGCGGGGGACGCCGCGGGGAACGGGGTGGTGCCGCCCGCGGGCCCCGCGCCCCCCGCCCCGCCCCCCACCGGCGCCGGGGACCGTGAGTACGGCCGCGCCTGCGCCTGCACAAACACAACGATGTAGATCATTCACCTCGGGTTATATTGATCGCACAAATACTGCGCTCTCGTATACAATGCAACGTAATTGAAAAGCAAAACGCTAATATTTTTATGGTAAAGATTTGGACATTAATAAAACGACTTCGATGGTCTATCACTTCACTGCCTATGATCACAGGTTTGATTCCTCGCAAACAAATATATGTATTCATGAGTATGATTGTTTGCATCGATCTGAGTGTTTTCTATGTACATTATGTACGTAATTACGAAAAAATATTTACCTATTTATTTCCAACAGTATTTTAGCATACATAATATAATCCCTACTTAGCTTGGGACTTGATAGCGCTATGTAAATCGTCTTGAGATATTATATAGAATCATTATCAAGAAATATTTAAACTTTGTTCAGTCTACATGTATATATATTACTTATCAGACCAGGTTGACTTATTTTTTGATGACTTTCTCATACAAAGTGGTCTGGGATATCTAAGACAAACTTATTTTTGTCTTACATATATCAGTCAGCTGTAAAGGAATTTCTTTACGAGCTCTATTTTAGTTATAGGATGAAACTGAAAACTGAAATTCCAAGATGCGGAGTACTTCATATATTAAACGACGGTTCCCACTTACCATCAGGTGGATCGCTAGCTTGTCTGCCTTGTCAACGCCATAAAAAAATACATGATATATATCGTCAAATTCATCATCGCTCCATTAAAATTTATTATAATTATATTATCATCTTAGTCAGCACATATGAATCTACTTAAAAAATAATGCGTTGTAGAGTATACTCGTATAATACGTATAAAACAATTTTCAAGCATAAAAAACGACACGAAGGAGAAATTCTCATCCATTATTAAACCTGCTTTTACTGAAATAGCTGCTATTTATTTCAGATTGTGTTAGTGAACAATTTATAATATCTTAGTAACTTAAAATATACAGACACAGAGATATATACACTTAATTGATACTATATATCGATAGTAACAGTAACGGTAGTGATGGTGACCTGTGGCGCGGGCGACCTCGAGTAGGGGTGCGCGTGGGGGTGGTGCGGGTGCGGGGATTGCGAGTAGCGCGGCGGCGCGGCCGGGCTGGCCTGCTGCAGGTACGGCGCCGGGCTGTGCGAGTACAGCGGGCTGCGGCCGGCGAACGACGCGCCCCCCGCGGGGCCCGGCGCCCCGCCCCCGCCCCCGCCGGGGCCCGCGCCCGCGCCCGCCCCGGGCCCGCCCCCGCCGCGCCCCGCCGGCGACCCGTAGCCGGCGCGCGGCGGGGACGGCGCGGAGAATGCCGCGGGACTCGACGGGTACTGCGGAAGTCGACACCAAGTGGGTATAGTACAGTGACGACTAATAAAAACTAACGGCCTCGGTAGTCTGACGGATTCGATTACTTGCACGATACAAACATTCATAAGTATAATAGTTGGTATCGGTCTGGGTTGTTCAGTACATTTAGTCATAATTAAAATTTGAGATTATTTATTCAAGTAGGACATTTCAGCTGCTTAAGAACGTCGAATTGTTGTATTAATATTTGAAATTATTTCGTCTGAAATTGTTTATTAATTTATACTAAAATTTGTGTCAAAAGACACTACTACTGATCCAATTTTGAAAATTCTTATATTGTTTTATTTAATCATTATTTTAATATAATTAAATCATTTATAATAGAAATTTAAGCTGCAATAAAAATGTAACAAAACCGTCGTAAAAATAGTCACAGACGAACACAAATCAGCTAGTTTACTTACATATAAGCAAAAAAAATATATATGGAGCAATGCGTACCTGTGGTTGCGGAGTGCCGGCCGGGCGCGCGGGTCCGGGCGAGTATCCCTGGGAGCGCGGCGACGCGTACACGGCGCGCGGCGACGCGGCGTAGCCCGCGCCCCCCGGGCCGCCGGGCCCCGCGCCCCCGGGCCCCGCGGGCCCCGCGGGCCCCGCGCCCGGCGACCCGTACCCGCGGCCCAGCAGCGCGCCCGACACGTCCAGCGGCGACTCCAAGCCCGGCCCTGACACCCCCCGAACATTACAATCCTCGTTCTTTTCGGAAATTAAATTATTCGATACTAGGCAACGATTTATAGGCGTGATCAAAACCATATTCGATTGTGGAATAATCATTTTTATTATCGACCTTATGCAATTCAAATTTAGAGTTTAAAATTTAATGCAATATATGTGAAAGACAATCTGCTTGTAGGAGATATAGCACGGTGGCTATCAACTCATCACTGTAGCGTTGTATATAACGTGATGAAGTGTCGCTATATAATTTGTTTCCCGTAGTTCCAAGGTAGTGAGTTATATACTCAGTATAATAATTGAACTACATTAGTAAGTTTATTTTATAGTGTGCTACATGACTTATTAGTAACGCGTACATTCAACGCGGAGTCGTAATGCGGACTGACTTTATATGGAACTAGCTGTCCAGGCAAACGTTGTTTTTCCTTAAAATAAAAAAAAAATTAGGGGTGGACTACCCCTAACATTTAGGGGGATGAATTACGACAATCTTATATATAAAATTCTCGTGTCACAGTTTTAGTTCCCATACTCCTCCGAAACGGCTTGACTGACTCTCATGAAATTTTGTGAGCGTATTGAGTAGGTCTGAGAATCGGCCAACATCTATTTTTCATCCCCCTAAATGTTAGGGGTAGTCCACCCCTAAATTTATTTTTTTTATTTTAAGGCAAAACAATGTTTGCCGGGACAGCTAGTTTTATATATAAGATTTAAGTTATGTATAGACGTAAATATGGAAGGGTGACGAGTGTTGACAGAAAAATTACAAGTGTAAGTACAGTACTATTTTTTTTGGTGTAGCATTTAACACATTAAAAGGATTTGACTCACCAACGCCAGAGCCTGGAGGCTGGAAGTACGAGGAGCCGTCTGAGAGCGGCTGCTGGTGCTGCTGGTGCGGCGGCTGTTGATGCGGATGCTGGTGCTGTTGGTGCTGGTACAGCAGCGAGCTCTGCCCGAGCGGCGACGGCAGTTGACTCTGGAACTCGCTGTGGCCGAGGTAGGGCGCCTCGTGGGGCAGCGGCTGCAGCGACGGCAGCTGTGGTTGGAGCATTGCGTTCGCCTGCTGAAAATATAGCACCACATGTAACTCCAATACTTTCTTTATTCTTGTCTGTACTTGTTGTCTGTACATGTAGGACATTTTACCCGCTAATGAACGTTAAGTTTTTACATTTTAATTTTATTTCCCTACCGTCTAGTTCGGTATATAGATCCAATTGAGAAGAACTGGCAAGAAACTCAATTGAATAAGTTTTTTTTAAAAGTCAGTTTATTTACAATGTATATTTAATTCAATTCAATTCAATTTATTTACTGGAACATAAATTTTATATAGGTGTCTATGTCTAATATTAAATGAAAATCAACTGCATGAACAACTATTGCCATGCACGCTCGTCATTCAAGTAATCGTTTTGTGAGTAGGCTTTGCTCAGTAAATATGATTTAACAGATGTTTGGAATTTATTTAAGGGTAATTCCAATATATCCTTTGGTATCTTTTGGTAATATATTAATGAAACACAAAAACTAGAGGAATTGCCACTATATGAGAGGGCTACAACCACATAGGATGTGTAGTGACGTGTCATGCATAAACGTATTCTCCTTTGGAAAGTTTACATTCTATTTTGAGGAGATAAAAACCATCGCTCCTAAGAATATCCCTCAATTGTTGTCCCTGACGGGTCTGAAAAAGGGCGAGCACAATAGATCTATGCAGGTCGCAGTGCTACAGGTCCAAGCACCTGACAATTCCCCAAACAACTCAATAAAAAAAATAAAAAAAATGTGTAAAGCTACAAAGTGACACGGAGCCATGAGACGCACCTGCTGCTGCTGCTGCTGCAGGAGGAACTGCTGGTCCTCGGGGCGGATCTTCTTGGGGCGGCCGCGCTTCTTCTTGGGCGGCTGGTCGGCGTCGGGCGCGGGCGGGGGGCGCGGCTGGCGGGGCGCGCGGGGCGCGGGGGGCGCCACCTCGCCGTTCTCCAGCTTCACCTTCTTGGGGCGGCCCCGCTTCTTCTTGAGCGGGACCTCCGTGCCGTCCTCGAGGATGATGGTGTCGCCCGGCTCCGGCTCCATCGTCAGTCTGTAAGGGGAACCGGTTAACTCACGGCCGCCGCTTTCGTAACCCGTTTCAATATAATACGATTCATTGATTTATCATTTTTCTAATATATAAAATTCTCCTGTCACTTGCCTTACTGCTACGAAATGGCTTAACCGATTTTGATAAAACTTTGTATGTGTACTCAGTAGGACTGATTTTTTTTATAATTCGAGATTAAAAAATAAATTCTGTACTGTAAAATGTAGTGTACATTTTCAGCTTTCTACCATCAACTTTCTAATAGTATTCAATAATAATTTATATAGCAAAATAACGTTAGCGAGTCAACTACTAATAACACTCTGCATGTTCCTTAGTTACCTAAAACTACGCAACGAAAAGTCCGGTCAAAATCGGTCCCGCCATTTCAGAGATTAGCCGGAACACACAGACTGACAGACAAATATTATAAAAAATGTTATTTTAGTGTATGTACCGTATTTATATTCATATGCATGTAGTAAAAAACTGTTATTTCAATATTACAAACAGACACTCCAATTTTATTTATATGTATAGATGTATAGATTTAATTAGAATAAAGTCGAAATTAACCGTTAGTAATGAGGTAAGCAATATCATAAAAAATATTTAGCAATTTAGGTTAGACTCTCGTTAGGCGGTTAATAAATTCCTAAACATTTTTTACACGGCTGCTTTATACTCATAAAACCAAAAAGACTCGAAGAAATAATTAAAACAATATATTTTTGAGCGCCCCGGCTTTACATTAATAAAAAAACTCTCTAAGGATGAAATAACTAAAACAATTTTTTTTGAGTTAATCCTTGATGGTAGACTCGACATATTTTGTTTATTTAGGTTCTATATGTCAGCTCGTAGATGACTTGTGTGTACTATTGTTCAAAATCTACTCTGTACAAATTGTAAGCACAGACTATTATATTAGAGACGTTAGTTCTGTTCCCGCGCTTTTCCCGATAACAGACCGTATCGCCGCCAAAACGCGTGCGCATTAATCCTATATTGAAATTAATAAAAAACTTTTAGGTCGGATTTCACCAAAGAAACTGATCACGTTTAGTTCCAACTAAACGCAATTAAAACGTTTAAACGTGTTCAAAGGTTCATTATAAATTTCGCTAAACACGTTTATTAATTCTGAACTTTTGATTTCCTTTTGATTTCCAGTTAACTCTTTAAACGTATTTAAAGCAGCTGTCAGTTGTCAAATAGTCATCAATGAAATTTTTGACAATATAATATCGGGATTTTTTTTTATTTAATATTTTACGGCTCTGGATACAAGTCCTTTTTAGCCCAACATAAAATACAAAACCTTAAAAAAAAATATAATTTCTTCCCAGTGTTGGAAATAAATTTATATAAAGTCTTGAATAGTGCAGGCCTTAATAAGATCTCTTCTAGAGACTTCGGTACTTCATTAATGTGCTCTTGAATCTCGTGAATGAGTAATAATCTGTCGAGTCCGTATTTTCTACATTTGAATATTATAAAAAGAAAATTGCCAGTAGTGTAAAAAAAAATCCTCAATAAAATAATCTTTTACTCGTTTACCTATAAAACGTTATTATTTTATAATTTGTAGTCGACGGTACTTATTGAATTAAAAATTAAAAAAACTTATCCTAATTATCACATGATTGAATTACAAATATTTGTTAGAATTATTTTATTTAAATTACCCATTGCATCAAATATTATTTTGGTAAACGCGATCTGTATAACGCTAGTGAATTCCATTTAAAGTTAAACGAGATTGTTGCGAGTGAATAATAGGATGTTGTTGGTCGAGACGATGTATATTACAGATGATGATAAACTGACAATGTGTACACAGAAATAATGATCTTATATACTAAATAACAATAGGAAAATGTAAGGTGGGATGACACAGCAGTGCTTAGTAGACAATATTGAATTTGTCTTACTAGACATTATTAAATGCAATTATTATTTTGATGTATCTAGGTGACTGTGTCCCATAGAGATCAATGTCGTTTATTTTTTCGAGTTCACGCTGAACTGCGTTTACTTGAACGTGTTTATACTGCGATTAGTGAATAGTGTGGAACATACTGTTTAAACTGAGAGCCCATCGAGACGTGTTAAGAAGTTACAGGTACGACATAGTATTTTCCCTTACAATTACAACTATTTTTACATAATTTCAATCATTTTGTTTAGTGACACTGAATTTTCAATTATTCGATACAGCAGACCGTACAAATTGGTCTGACAATTTACAGAACTATAGTGTACTATTCATGTCAATGAAAAATAATTACAAATGTATGTAAACACATCCTGCCGTACTGAAGGACGATTGTATTTATTTATATTTCTAATCATTACATAGTATAAAACAAAGTCGATGTCGATGTCTGTCCGTCCCTATGTATGCTTAAATCTTTAAAACTACGCGACGGATTTTGAAGCGGTTTTTTTAATAGATAGAGTAATTCTAGAGAACGGTTTATATATATAATACATACTACATGTACACCCGTGTGAAGCCGGGGTGGATAGTTAGGTATATATGTAGTATGTCTGTCCCTATGTATACTTAAATCTTTAAAACTACGCAACGGATTTCCAAGCGGTTTTTTAATAGATAGAGTGATTCAAGAGGAAGGTTCATATGTATAATAGATGTACACCCGTATGTGGGGCGAGCCGCTAGTATTAAATATATTGAAAATTTTTGCATATACCAGAATATTGCTAGAATTAATATGCAATCTAGTTTTACATCTTACTATAGAGAAGATTAGGTCTAATTTACTACATCTCTAAGTGCAAAACTGGGGCAGGCGTTCGAGTATTTTAGTAATAGTACAGTTCTGGGCACGATATATCTTTATCCTTCTACCCCAAACGAATTATTATACGTATATATATATTAGTACTCTGAATTACCCCAAAATGACCCCGCGAACTCCACATAGTTACTATCAAGGATTAACTCAAAAATATATTGTTAAAATTATTACATCCATAGTTACTATCAAGGATTAACTCAAAAATATATAGTTAAAATTATTTCATCCACAGTTACTGTCAAGGATTAACTCAAAAATATTTAGTTCAAATTATTTCATCCACAGTTACTATCAAGGATTAACTCAAAAATATTTAGTTCAAATTATTTCATCCACAGTTACTATCAAGGATTAACTTAAAAATATATAGTTAAAATTATTACATCCATAGTTACTATCAAGGATTAACTTAAAAATATATAGTTAAAATTATTTCATCCACAGTTACTATCAAGGATTAACTCAAAAATATATTGTTAAAATTATTTCATCCACAGTTACTATCAAGGATTAACTCAAAAGTATATAGTTAAAATTATTACATCCATAGTTACTATCAAGGATTAACTCAAAAATATTTAGTTATAATTATTTCATCCATATTTTAGCACCGTTTAAACTTTCCCTGGACTTCCAGGAATATTTCAAGACTAAAATTAGCCAAATCGGTTCAGCCGTTCTCGAGTTTTAGCGAGACTAACGAATAGTATATTTATATTTATATATATAGATTAATTTACTGTAAACAATCTGTTGTACTGAGACCTAAGTGAATAGTTACAACACGGTCGGCGTGTGAATGACTGCATCATCTATACATATAAATAAAATTGGAGCGTCTGTTTGTAATATTGAAATAACCGTTTTTTACTACATGCATATGAATATAAATACGCCACATAAACCGCAATTGATATCTACGTGTTTTATAAGTGCGTTATAGCGAAATAGAAATAGAGGTAACTTTTGTGGTCATATTTTTTATTCTACCACTCATTTGGAACTGGAACTCTTCACAAGAAGAACGGACAAGAAAATTGTGTGGTTGCTCTTTCGAATAAATGTTATCTATACATATAAATAAAATTGGAGTGTCTGTTTGTAATATTTTTTACTACATGCATATGAATATAAATACGGTACATACACCAAAATAACATTTTTTACAAATTTTGTCTGTCTGTTTGTTCCGGCTTATCTCTGAAATGGCTGGACCGATTTTGACGGGACTTTTTTTGTCAAGTAGCTGATGTAATAAGGTGTGGCTACTTTTATTTTATAAAAATAAAGTTAATTTCCACGCGAAGTCGCGGCTACAGCTAGTCATAAATAACGGCGGCGACCTTAGCGTTGTGACTAATGTAGGTCCTTGAAACGACATGTTCTTTTAACTTGAGTACATTACATTTGCATATGTACGAGCTGCGACACGTGTATGTTTGTACACACGTCTGGCGGCTGGGTAACTAACCGCTGGGTTTTTTTTTACATAATTGAATGGTAAACAAACTGTAAAGTCCTAAACAAATATATATATAACTACCCGCCCCGTCTTCGCATGTATGTATATTACAGACTAGCTGACCTTCCGGTCCTCGCACTCGAGGACTTTACTACCCCAACGACCATCTGTCCTACGAGCTGTGTGCCCTGGCCATATCAGTGTTGCAATTTTCTAAATATATATAACTCAAAGGTGACTGACATGGTGATCTATCAACGCACAGCCCAAACCACTGGACATCGTCTGCAACACACTTATTTGACATTTAACATTATATTTCGACCAATTTACATTATATATTTTTTCTAGTTTGTGTTCCTCTGATGTATAAGCTATAGCTACAGTTTTTAGTTCTCTCCCGTTCATGTAATTTTACCTACCTGTTCAATATTTCAATCCGTTTCTCTATGGTTGCCTTGAAAAGATTGCTTTCAGTAATAAGCCCGCCTTATTGTAATTTGTTATATTATTTGTGCTTTTTCTTTACTGTATGTTGCAAATAAAGTATATTCTATCTATCTATATTACAGTAAAGTTACATCAAAATCAGTTTATTAGGTTTTGCGTGAAAGAGTAACAAACATCCATTCATACTCACAAACTATCGCGTTTATAATATTAGTAAGATACAAAACTTCCTTTTGAATCACTCTATTTATTGCTATAAAGTGTATTAAAATCCGTTGCGTAGTTTAAAAGATCTAAGCGAACAGACAGACGCATTTATCTATAAAACTTTCCTTTTGAATCACTCTATCTATTTATCAAAATAACAGATTTTGGTGTATGTACCGTATTTATATTCATATGCATGTAGTAAACTGTTATTTCAATATTACAAACAGACACTCCAGTTTTATTTATATGTATAGATATAGCATAGTTTAAAATTAACATTTGCATAAAAAAAATAGCAGTTTATGTGATATATATAAGTTATTAAATGTATAGCAAACAAATCTAACAAAATCAAACATTACCGAGACCACGCCCACTTAGATATACAATCTTTTGATTGGCTAAAACAGTTTGTTTTGTTACATTTTGTTGCTGTTTATATTGTTTTAATAATTAAAAGTGTTTTACTTGACTTATCAACATTGTACTAACTCTTAACCCAACTGATTGATTGGTTTGATTGATTGACTGATCAAAATTGTACTAAATCTCAACCCAACTGATTGTGATGTTAGAAATATTTCACTAATACATTTCACTGATTTGTGCTGTCCTTATTTGTTACAAAATGACAGCCTCGATGGTCTAGTGGTAAAGCATACTGCTTTACTATCTGATGGTCGCGGGTTCGATTCCTCGCACGGTACAAACATTTGTATTCATGAGTATAATTGTTTGTATCTGTCTGGGTGTTATCGATGTATAATATGTATTTATTTACAAAAAAAATCCATGTATTTATATCAGTTGTCTAGTACCCATAACACAAGTTGGTTAGCTTGGGACCAGATGGCGCTGTGTGAATTGTCCTGAGATATTATTATTATTATTAATGTACATCTGTTTGAAAAGCGACTGGTAGTTTCAGAGACGAGCACGTTCAAACAAACAAAACATAAAAACACCACGCCTGTTATTTTAGACGGGGTAGTCAGACCCAAAATCAACTGTCCAGACGTCGTCATGACCGCAACATTTCATTTCATTATATTTACAAGCACCGTACCTATATACAGGGTGTATGTGTATATACGGCTTGACGTTGAGTTCTGGGACACGCTGTATAAGTATAGACTGTATATAGACATGCGTGAAGCTGATAATGAGGTAAAGTGCTCCGTTACAAACAGGGAAACTACCAACTAAACACGATTGTGTAACGATGTCGGTGGCTATTTTAGTCCTTACGCTACGTCATCACACGAACCGCGATAATGTAAAATGACGTCATAGACATCTTTGGGTTTTAAACTACACGTTTTGATAGATTAAAAAAAAACTCACGATTGTAATCTCACGTGGGGTGGTCTGAGAAGAAGCAAAAGGTATCAGTTGTAGGGGGTGCTTTTAACTTTCTATCTACGGGGTTCGAAAGTGAGAATTACGCGACGTTTGAATTATGAACGAAGTGAAATATCATAGTGGACTACATATATACAGGGTGAGAGCGTAAACACCAATTTTATTTGGAATCTAGATTCAATTATTAAAATAAAAACATGAAAAACATGAAAATAATTGTGAATATTTTTCATTCAATACACCATTTGGAGTGACCACCACCAATGAGTTTTTGAAACAGCACAGTTCATAGTAACTGTGATGCTATGCAACAATTAGAACTGGATGAAGCTTTACCGCTATATATGTAATCGTCTGTGATAAGTTATAAAATAGTCCAATTAAATTTATAAATTACTTATAAAATAACAATAAAAATCAGTACAGCCTGTAGTTTTATTGAGAAATCACGCGCAAATACAGAAGTTTCCGGACCAAATATGATTAAATTCGATACATAAGAAAATCGCAGGTAAACACGTGGTTTTTACTCATTATATAATTAATATTATTATATTTATGCTTTATCCTTCTCAAAATTATAACATAATTATAGTATTAAAGGTAATATTTTAAACAGAATGTTATATATGAATGTGGATGGTTATAAGGGCCGAGGAAGGCCGAAAAAGAGATGGATTCTGTGAAAGAAGATATTACAAGAAAGAGTCTGCTTTAAATGAGCAAAATAAGGGAGAAGAAGATGATATACAATGATATCATGTAACAATTCGGAAGGGGAAATGATACAATCAATACACGAGCAAAGTCATGGTTTTCTTGCGGATTCTTCAAATGCTGTCGGCCGCAGCTGGCTTTTACAGCTTCACCGGGGGATAGGGGCGAGTGCAGATGGCACTCCAAACCCGCGGAAGGACTTATGGAGCGGCTGAAGGCCAACTCCCACCTGACGGATACGACTTTAGTGTACGAGTACCGCTAGGGGTTCGAACCTGGGCTCAGGCCGTCGTAATTTCGATCGCCGTTTGAATTGGACGGGGGATCGATCGGAGTGGAAAGTCTTGGGTAGAAACTAGTGTTAAATGAGTTGTAATTTCGTAATGTGTGTAGTCACCTGCGGATCTCCATCTCCTCCTGTGGCCGGCGGCTGGTGTTGTCGGGGAACACGAGCTCGGCCTCGTCGACGTGCGCCACGAGTCCGTTCAGGTAGTCGCGGAATTTCTTCAGCGCTGCGTAGAACGGGACCTTGTCGGCTGCGCGTGGCAACTGTGCGCACCGCGCAGACGACGACGGCATCACCCACATGTACTGCGCACGGGAACACCCACAACACACTTAGTATACGGCTATCACTATAGCTTACACTCACATCGCTCCGTGATACAGTTACAGGGCTATACTAATACAAACGGAACAATGCAGAGACAGAAAGAGGAAGGGGATTGTTAGTAATGTGGATTATTGATCGCATCACTAGCAATGTACCATGTCAGTACACTGCTAGTGATGCGATCAATAATCCACATTACTAACTGTTGCGGGTGAATATTACGATGTTGCTGGTCGAGACGATGTATTTTACAGATGATGATAAACTGACAATGTGTACATAGAAATAATGATCTTATATACTAAATAACAATAGGAAAATGTAAGGTGGGGTGACACAGTTTAGATACAGCAGTGCCTAGTAGACAATATTGAGTTTGTCTTACTAGACATTATTAAATGCATTTATTATTTTATGTATCTAGGTGACTGTGTCCCATAGATATTCCCCCCTTGAGAGAAAAAATATATATATATTACACACAAAAAAATTATAAAAGTTAAATGTAAAATTTAAGATATTATGAACTTTTGTAACAATAAAAATTCATTATACCCAAATAACGACGTAAATCTTCGACTGTCGTGGATTTAGGGTACTCGTCGATTGCTTGCCATTTTTCTTGCGTTGGTTTCATCCCTTGGCTCGTTATATGATAACCAAGAAAATCTAACTCATTTGTGAAGAACTCGCATTTGCTCATATTAATTGTTTGCGGCGAATAATTTGATTTCGCTAGCGCTCTCTTTGGTCTGTGCTTGTTTTTTATTCATCGAGATTTTTGCTCCGGTGTCCACCAAAATTCTATAGCCACTGTTAGAGTCGGTTATAGCTAGGCGGTTAGACGGATGAACAGCACAGCGTTCCGTCTTATTCTGCGTTGAATCTAGTTTTCCGACGGTTGTCTATAGGAGCGCGGCATGTCACATTTGTATGCCTTTTCTTTATATTTGCGATGATATAATATAAATAATAGTCATTTTTCTGACTACGCAATGACCGTAGGTGCGAATTTGACCTAGATCGGTAGTTGCTGCGTCTGTTTGTGTGTGGCGAGCGCTTTTCGCGTATATCAGCAATTTCTGATCGCAGTGTCGCAATTAGTGACGACAGGTGTGCAATGACGTCGGCGGTGACTGTTGGCTGTACTTTTGTAGACAGCATTTTTGTTTTATTTTTCCAGTTTCAATTTTTCGTCCAGAGATTATATTCAGCAGGCAGTTGTGTTTACTGGGGGTCAGTAGCACGGCAGGATCCTTGTTGTGCAGTATTGCCAACGACTTTTATGCCTCTTGAATTTCCGAGCCGGTGAGACCCGCTTCTGGGAAGCCGGTGGAAATGTGCAATCGTTGGTGGTGCGCAGGATGCCGTCAGACAGAGATCTCTTGTTTGATCTCGTCGTTTTCCCAGGTATCGTCTCGACCACGTCGGCCAGATCACGTCGGGGTCACCACTGTTGCGGGTGAATATTACGATGTTGCTGGTCGAGACGATGTGTTTTACAGATGATGATAAACTGACAATGTGTACATAGAAATAATGATCTTATATACTAAATAACAATAGGAAAATGTAAGGTGGGGTGACACAGTTTAGATACAGCAGTGCCTAGTAGACAATATTGAGTTTGTCTTACTAGACATTATTAAATGCATTTATTATTTTATGTATCTAGGTGACTGTGTCCCATACTAACAACCACCTCCGCACGGTTCCCTCCTGGACACCATTGGTAAATTGCCGTTGAATTTGTCTCGATGGGCTAATTGACCAGACCTCATATACATCCTATCAGTAATATGGATTATTGATCCCATCACTAGCAATGTACCATGTCAGATTGACCTCCGCACGGTTCCCCCCAGGATACCATTGGTAAATTGCCGTTGAATTTGTCTCGATGGGCTATTGACCAGACCTCATATACATCCTATCATCCTCCACTGGTGCCCCGCCAGCGTAAACCGTTAGCTCAGGCGGGTGCACCATTTCATTAACATTCATAATAAAAATGCAGAGACTCAGAGGGGAAGGGGTCGTTAGTAATGTGGATTATTGATCCCATCACTAGCAATGTACCTTGTCAGGTGACCTCCGCGCGGTTCCCCCTGGAATTCATCGTGATAAATTGGCGAATTTGTCATGATGGGCTTAACTGACTTGACTTCATGTACATCTTATCATCCTCCACTTGTGCCCCGTACACGGGGGCATCATCCCATTATGCAATAAAAGAAAATGCAGACACATCCTTGCTTACAGTCATATCAGTGTATGATAGAGTTACAGGGCTATTGCTCCGTGACATAGCTATAGGGCTATCCCTATACTATCTCTCTACCATTACAGAGAATGCAGGGACCGATGTTAATACATTACACATAAGGGGAGCAGATTCCTAGGTACATGAGAATGTACCTCAAAATGTCCTCTAGATACCCTTGTAGCGAATTGGAAATAAACGCCATAACGCTAACAATTAAATACTTAAATTGCAACATGGCAGATATGGTGTTCCATCGGTTTAAAATAACGCTTTATGAGACCTTCTAGAAACCCTGTGACAAATTGGAAATTATATACTTCCGATGGTCGCGGGTTCGATTCCTCGAACGATACAAAAATTTGTATTCATGAATATATTTGTTTGTATCGGTCTAAGTATTCAGACACAGCTATATCAAGCAAATTAAAGAAAAAGTTGGAGTCGTGTCGTATCAGCAGCTAAAAGGACTGATAGAAGATCGTGGTGGGTGGCGGGACCTCTACCGACAAGAGAACAGCTCTTAAATTATGAATAAACGAATGAAGGATTTACAAAAAAAATGTTGTCTATTTCCAATATGCCCTGCTTAGCTTAGGACTAGAGGGCGCTGTGGAAATAGTCCAGGATACAATCATAATCTATACCAACTTACAGTGTTAGTGCCCGCAATTGTGTCTGGTTGTTTCCCGAAGCAGAAGTCCTTCTTGCCAGAGAACACCTCGTATATAAGCTTTCCGTTGAACACGGCCACCTTGGGCCGGAAGGTCTGCAGTTTCTCCAGCAGTATCGCGGAGCCCTCCTTGATCTCCCGCCGCGTGAGGTCCGCCGAGCCTTTGGTCGCCCGCGGGACCATATTCGTGAAACCGATGCCGAAGTTCAATAACTGTAACAAATATTATTATTTGATATAATTATCGTATAGAAATGAATATAATTATAACCTCAAATCATATGCGATTTCCAACGAAAGTTTGTCGCCATATGCGAAATTGAATTTCTTAACTTAATAAAAAATAATCATATTCTAATACACATAGAAAATAATATGTTTAATTTTCACGTAAGTCTTCGCCCGGGTGTACATGTATAATACATATAAACATTCCTCTTGATTCACTCTATCTATTTAAAAAACCGCTTCAAAATCCGTTGCGGAGTTTTAAAGACTTAAGCATACATAGGGACAGACAGACAGCGACAGCGACTTTGTTATATACTATGTAATGATAATGCCAATGATGGTAGTCCTGTAATTTCGTTGCCTAATCACACACTTCAATCGAAACATAGCTTATAAATCAAATACAGAGTTACAATAGCATAAATATAATAGCAATACTAAAAATAGCAAAAGTTTATAAATGTATCAAGTCAACATGTTGACCACCTTCATGATGAAGCACTACTGGCCGTAGGGTGTGGTGCATTGGCTACCGTGGCAGATTGCCGTGACCACATAGACAATTTATATTATTATTACAATGTATGTTTGGCTATAAGGTATCTATAATCATTAACCTGAAATACGTAAATGAATAAAATAAAAGTAAGTGCTCATCGTAAGGAACGTGGACCCCAGGGGGGAAAGGTGATTGTTAGTAATGTGGACTGATGATCTTATTGCTAGCAATGTACCATGTCAGGTTGACCTCCACGCAGTTCCCCCTGGAAACCATCGTGGTAAATTCTTGTCGAATTTGTCCTGACAGCATGCTCATCTTATCATTATCCACTGGTGCCCCGCCAGCGTATACCGTTAGCGCAGCCGGGTGCACCATTCCATTATCATCCATAAAAAAAACGTGTACCTCATAATATTACTCTGTGCGTTTAATATGTTACTCGTGATTTTAGATTGTTCAAATTCAAATTCAAAATATTTTTATTCATGTAGGTCTATTACAGATTTTTATGATATGTTAAATCTACCGTCAGTTCAGAATTATTTCGAGATGAGAAGAACTGACAAGAAACTCATCTCGTATTCTTTTCAAATTAATATTATACGTGTTTACAATAATACACAGTCATTTAAATTCAAATTTGTGCGAATAGAGTGATCACCAGCATATGCTATTACAAAAAAAAAAATCTAATCAGTGTTCGCAACCTGAACAGACCAGTCCCCACAAGCAGCACCCGTTCATGTTTGCCATTTCAAAGCCTAAAGAAAGTGCAATCTTTGCAAGATACCTTGTAATCCTCATCAGCGCTCATCTGCTCCCTGGTGAGGCCGGACAGGTACAGACACTTCCAGAAGTGGTTCCCTGGTCCAGCGTAGTGGTGGCCCTTGTACGCAGCGAACAGTCCAGGGTTGATTCCAATCTGAAAATTAATAAAACATCACCGTAAGTATTTTTTTTTTCGGACAACTCTAATGCTGTTAGCCGCAGCTGGCCTTTACAGCTTCACCGGATGATAGTGGGCGAGTGCAGATGTTACTCCAAACGAAAGGAAGGACTTATGGAGCGGCTGAAAGGCAACTCCCGCCTGACGGATACGACTTTAGTGTGAGGGGACCGCTAGGGGTTCGAACCTCGGCTCAGGCCGTCGTAAGTAAATGTTAAAGAAATTATATTTATACTACTCAGTAACTTAAGTAAGTAAGTAAAGCACTGTATAAAGCCGGTTTAAAATGAGACACATTCCTAGGTGAGGTAAAATTAGAAAATTAAAAAATACTCAGCTAGCAGAGCAAAAACATAAAGACAAGGAATGTAGCATTAGAAAACAATCGGTATATAAAAACAGAACGGCAAATTATAAAAAAATACAAAAATATATAAAAATAACTTTCGTCGTTGTATGTTAAGTAGTATAGTATAGAAATAATGTGTAGGTGAGTTCACAAAATGAAAACGCAGGAGTTTTTATCACGGATGTAATACGTTATTCCTACATCACTACATAATATAAAACAAAGTAGGCATCCGTTAAGAAAGGATTTTGATTAATTCTAACCCCAAGGGGATAAAATAGGGGATGAAAGTTTGTATTAAACTTTGTCAATTTTAAACCGATCGGGCTGAGACTTTGCATGCCCAAAGCTACTATGACGTAGGCATCTCCTAAGAAAGGATTTTGATAAATTCCATCCCTAAGGGGATAAATTAAGGCGAGCGAAGCCGCGGTCAAAAGCTAGTCATAAGTATATATAGCTCGTATCAAATAATATAAATTTAAAAGTGTTTGTACGTAACAGTTTGCGAGCGGGCGTTCATAAGCCGTATTCCTCTGTCCGTCTGTACATACAGTGAAAGATGCTAAGCTGCTTATCTTCACTGTAATTGTCATTTCATTAGGTTACAGAAACAACTTAAGGGTACAATGATATGTGAGATGCTCACTTTGTATGTATACATACAACTACCTACGATTTAATACCACCCGTTTGACGGTTACCTTTGTTGTTTTTTTTTCTATTAATAATGAGATTGCATGTTGATTGTATACCTTGTCAAGACGTTTTAACCTAATTCTCATTCCTAGTAAATATTAATTTAACTAAAAAAGGAACATACTAATATATCCGTCATACTCGTGAACGAGTGCTGCTTGTAGGGACTGGTCTGTTATCACTACGACTGATTTAATCTTATTGTGTTTTTATATTTGACCTTAATAAATTAGTGCTGGTTGGTAGTTTGTATTCACACGTATCGATTTGTAAAATGTGAACTTACAAGGATTGTTTAAAAGAGCAACACACAAGTTTCTTTCTCGTTCTTCTTGTGATGAGACAGTTTTCCGAATGAGCGGTAGATTAAACAAATTGTTATGACTATTAAAAAGTGCCTAAATTAAGTATATTTGAATAAGGAATTTTCTATTCTATTCTATTCTATAGATGCAAAACTGTCTGTCTGTCTCGCTTTCACGTCAAAACTACTAAACCGATTTAATAGAAATTTTGTACGCAGATAGTGTAGCCGCTGAGAAAGGACACAGGTCACCTTTTAATGCCAAGGAAAGGGATGAAAGGTCATATAGAAATTCGTATTTTTTTAAAACTAAAACGATGAAATGTTTTCCATTGTTTTTTTGGGTTAGTTTGTTTTTGTTTCTAAGTTGTTTTTGTTTCTAAACCTTTATCTGACTGTATTTTTGATAACGGATTGTTTAATATTTTCATTCTTGCTGGTAATTGTTTATAAGCACATGTATACATATAAATAAAATTAAGAGTGTCTGTTTGTAATATTGAAATAAACGTACCTTACTATATGCATATGAATATAAAAACGGTACATACACTAAAATAACATGTTTTGCAATTTTTGTCTGTCTGTCTGTCTGTTCCGGCTAATCTCTGAAACGGCTGGACCGATTTTGACGGGACTTTTAATGGCAGGTAGCTGATGTAATGAGTGGCTTAAGCTACTTTTATTTTAGAAAAAATAATTTAAATTCCACGCGGACGAAGCCGCGGGTGCAGCTAGTGCCAAATATGGGAGTACTATGTGTAAGTCTAGGTCGTCTCGTTACTGGTGCGGTCCGGGGCTCGGGCTAACAAATCGATACGCTAGCTTTCAGCTTGTGTTATATACACCGTGGTAGACACTCATGTACAATGTTATATATCATTGCAAATAATACTTTAAATACAATAATATACTGTGTAATATTACTTTAACAGTTAATGTACTATACTAGCTGTGCCTGCGGTTTTACCCGCACCAAATTTGTAGCCAATGTCATTCTGATGTATTTAACGAAAGCATAACTAAACTCTATGTATAACTAACTAATATTATTAACTCGAAACTTTGTGACTACGGATGTTCGTTACTGAAAAACTTTACAGTAATATAGACTATATTATATATATAAAGTTTTATCAAAATCCGTTCAGTATTATCGTGTATGAATTACATATTAATGTGGATGGTTATAAGGGCAGAGTAAGGCCGAAAAAGAGATGGATGGACTGTGTGAAAGATGATATGGTAAGAAAGGAAGTAAATAACGCGATGACTGCGAACAGGGATGAATGGAAGAGAAAAACATATTACGCCGACCACTAATAAAGGGGATAAGGATGAAGCAGATGATCGTGTATGAATGAATGAAGTAATATTCAATTGAGTTTCTTGCCAGTTCTTCGCAATTGGATCTATACAAAACTATAGGGAAAACATTATAAAAAATAGTCAATTGAGTTTCTTGTTAATTCTTCTCAATAGGATCTATACTGAACTGGACGGTAGGGAAAAATATAATACAAAAAATTTGACGTTCATAAGCGGCTAAAATGTCCTACATGAATAAATCATTTTTGAATTTAAATGCAACAGATGCCAATACATTTATAGTATTAACAACGTGGTACTTAGCTCCCAACTTGAGGTGGATGTGTGGTGTGACAAGAATGGATAAGATAAAGAATGAATACATTAGAGGAAGTATGAAAGTGGCACCGGTGTCAGAGAGGTTGAAGAGTAATCGTCTATCATGGTATGGACATGTAATGCGTAGGAACGAGGATAATATTTTAAGAAAGATGTTACAAATTAATGTGGATGGTTATAAAGGCAGAGGAAGGCCAAAAAAGAGATGGATGGACTGTGTGAAAGATGATATGGTAAGAAAGGAAGTAAATAACGCGATGACTGCGAACAGGGATGAATGGAAGCGAAAAACATATTACGTCTACCCCAAATAAATGGGATAAGGAAGAAGCAGATGATGACTTAGCTCCCAACTTTCGAGTTACCACAACTCTAGACTCGAAGTCTGTACCGGCTTGCATAACAGTAGGTAAAAATTTCAAGCGGCGGCAGCAGGCGTCGCGACACAAAGACAGAATACATAAATCACGTGAACTTACCTTCTCGTGCTCATGAATATTAAAATAGCAGCTCATTTAGGCAACTACAATATCCACCATTCATCATAATTGATGATGAGACATCACATTTTATCCGACTGACGAAAAGAAACGTTATGTATGATTGTATTTTTCACGCAATATTATATAGTATAAAACAAAGTCGCTGTCGCTGTCTGTCCGTCTCTATGTATGCTTAAATCTTTACAACTACGCAAGGGATTTTGTTTTTTTAATATATAGAGTGATTCGAGAGGAAGGTTTATATGTATAATACATGTACATTCGTTCGAAACCGGGTAGCTAGTATAGTCTAAACAAATATCTTATTGGATTTAAATGAATGAAAAAGTTAATTTATTTGTTAGTAATTCGTTTACAGACTATCATGAAATGTTATATACTAGCTGTACCCGCGTCTTCGTCCGCGTGGAATTTAACTTTATTTTTCTATAATAAAAGATTTTTTCTAAAATAACAGTAGTCTAACTTACTGATTGAGTAATAAAGATTCAAATATATAGAGTTTGATATCTATACATATAAATAAAATTGGAATGTTGTAATATTGAAATAACCGTTTTTTACTACATACATACATATGAATATAAATACGGTACATACACCAAAATAACATTTTTTACGATTTTATTTGTCTGTATGTTTGTTACGGCTAATCTCTAAATGGTTGTACCGATTTTGACGGGACTTTTATTGGCAGGTAGCTGATGTAATAAGGAGTAACTTAGGCTACTTTTATTTTAGGAAAATAAAGTTAAATTCCACGCGAACGAAGTCACAGGTACAGCTAGTTATACTCGTACATAGGTGTGTACGTCGCGTCGTTTTCTGCATACACCTGGTTGGATGCGTTCTTTAAAATGTTCGATGCAAATCATTTCGACCGTTATCTGATATCCTTTATAGTTTTACTGCTTTCTTATTTCACCTACTTTACTCGCTACATCCATTTGTATTATAATTCAAAAAGTATGCATTAATATTATAGATTGTCCAATGATAAAACGAGAAATAACAAATAAAATATCAATTCTAAAGTATTTTATACAGATTATGTGAGGAAGAGAACTCTACTTTTTTACAAAAAAAGTATAGACAAACTATCGTAATAGATGATCATAAAACTATGATATCATAAATTATTATTAGGAAATTTAAATACATATAACAATATATTTATTTATATCAATGTTATGGGAAGTTAACTGAGCACGCATTTAATTCAGTTGCGCCGTTTCTGAGATTAGCATGCACAGATTATTTTCAGAAAATACCATTTTGTTTTGTCTCCGGAAACTTGTATTATCATGCACAAATTGTCTTTTTAAGGCTTTTTTTTTGTTCTGTTTTTCCCTTTTCAGGGAAAGGCAAAAGGACTCAGCCCATACAGCCATTATCTTCAATAGTGTTTTCTTATACTTTTTTCCAAATAATTTGCCGTGACAGCTATCACGGCGCTGTGCCTGCCGTTAGTGACATCACGTACAGCCCGATGTCTCAGTTCTTTTGCCCAGTGACATATGTCATTATTGTTACAGACTTGATAGCTATGCTATAATTAGCGCGTAACACATAAATTCAGTTCAGAATCCAGTCGGTTACAAATAAGTAAAATCCTGATGGGCGTTTTGCAGGAGAAAACATGTAAACATTGTGTAAATTGAGAAAAGTAATGCTTCTTATCTATCTACTAGCAGACCCGGTCACGCGTTGCTGTGGCTAACAGTTTCTTTATACATAAAAATAGTTTGCATTAAAATAATATTGGAACTATAGATTGAGATGTAAGCTATCCTATCTTTGCAGTTGGATCAAACTGCACACAATGTGCAAATCCAATTTGCAATCGATTCAGTAGTTTAGGAGTCCATCGCATCGACAACGTGCGGGGGGAAAGGAATTGTTAGTAATGTGGACTCTCGACCCCATTGCTAGCAATGTACCATGTCAGTTGACCTCCACGCGGTTCCCCCTGGAAACCATCGTGATAAATTCGAGGTGATTTTATCACGATGGGCTAACTGCCCTGAACTCTGCTCATCATATCATAGTCCACTGGTGCCCCGCCAGCTTAAACCATTAGCGCAAGCGGGTGCACCATTCCATTATCACATACAACGTGACACGTAATTTTTATATATAAAGATAAGTGTGGTGGTGGATGGCTAACTAAGTGAGTTGCAAGTGGTAGTGAGTGGCGATCATACTCACAATGATGATGTCCAGGTTCTCTGTGAGATGGTCGGGCAGCGTCCGCCGGGAGACCTCCTCCTCGCTCATCCCGTTGAACCGGTCGTGCTTCTTGCGTTCCTTCACCGGCCGCGCCACCAGCGCGCCCTCCATTCCAGGCTCCGCTTTTATCTCCATGCTGCAACAAACAAGGTATTCATTAGCTTTCAAAGGATATAACACAGAAAAGGTGGCCTTTGATGGACTTAAAAAAATTGTGTATCTATATATATAAATACAAGGTGGACCGACGATCTGGTCAAGCTCGCTGGAAGGCATTGGATGCGAGCAGCGCAGGACCGATCGTCGTGGGGATCTTTGGAGGAGGCCTATGTCCAGCGGTGGACGTCTTCCGGGCTGTGATGATAATAATGATGTTTGTAATATTGAAATAACAGTTTTTTACTACATGCATATGAATATAAATACGGTACATACACCAAAATAACATTTTTTACAATTTCTGTCTGTCTGTCTGTTTGTTTGTTCTAGTTAAATAATATCTGCAACGGCTGGACCAATTTTGATAGGACTTTTATTGGCAGATAGCTGATGTAATAAGGAGTAACTTAGGCTAGTTTTATTTTAGAAAAATTCTTGATTTTTAGAAAAATAAAGTTAAATTCCACGCGGACGAAGTTGCGGGTACAGCTAGTGTTAAAACAAAACAAAATATTGTCTAAAAATATTTTTTGCGTTGGACCATCCTTATCACATTAGGGGTATGTATCTTTTTACGGTCTCATTCCTCGACCAACTATATATAAATACAAAACTTCATAAGAATCTGTCAAGCCGTTTCGGATGCATTTTGTTACATTACAAACACTGTCACAATGTTATCCGTATATTTGGACAAATAAAGCATCGCAGTTAATACCATGTGGATTAGTCACGACTGGCTTCCTGAGTTGACTGATATCATCTTCAATTCGTAATCTTTAACATTACAAAAAATAGTATATTTGGACAAATTAAAACCGTAGTTATTTCCATGTACATTCAATTCGTAATTTTAAGCGTATACAGTTAGCGATTTAATCCAAAAAACCGACTTTTTATGATATCTGCAGAATAAGTTTGTGGTGTGGTGTGGTGTTAATTGCCGTGAACGATTACGTGACAGCCAGCCACCGTCCGCCGTCCGCCGTCCGCCGTTCAGGGATGACCGTGACCATCGCAACACGACCCGCGCTCCGTTCGCAATTATCCACAGATTGTTTTGCAACTATATAACTTTCCATTTTAGATCTTTATTATTTTATTTGCTTGTCTCTGCATAGTTTATAGTTTTTTTAGGTAACTGTACTGGCCAATAGGCTAAAGTTTTGTAGATATGTTTTTATTTTTTACTAGTTGTACCCGCGACTCCGTCCGTGTAATTTAACTTTATTTTTCTAAAATAAAAGTAGCCTAAGTTACTCGTTATTACATCAGCTACCTGCCAATAAAAGTCCCGTCAAGCTCGGTCAAGCCATTTCGGAGATTAGCCGGAACAAACAGATAGACAGACAGACAAAAACTGTAAAAAATGTTATTTTGGTGTATGTACCGTATTTATATTCGTATGCATGTAGTAAAAAACGATTATTTCAATATTACGAACAGACTCCAATTTTATTTATATGTATAAATATTACAGTACTAATAGTTTTCATTTTTTGTATTATGTCCAAATTTCAAATAATATAAAAAATAAAATCATCATCCAAATTTGGTAGAATCCGGGTTCTTTTCTACCAAATTTGGTAGAAAAGAGCCCGGATTCTACCAAATTTGGAATTTCGGTTGAACCCAGCGCCGCACAGAAACATCCTGTCCATTCGCTAAAACGAGCCCTATTATCACCGCAAATTTAGTAACCTTCAAATGTAATTTCATTGATAAATGATTCTTATTCTTTAACAGCATTATAGACACGACAAGAGATTTATGGACATTAGAAAATGAATGTATAAAGATCTTGGTATTCATCATGAGTTGTAATCCTGAAGACTAAAGAGTAATATCTGAAGAGGAATAAAACCTTAGTACCTAGACCTAGACTTATACCCCAGGTACAAGAACAGAGCTTGCTAAGCAAGCTACAGAAATATTTGAGAGGGGATATATCTAAGAAATTCTCCCAAATTTGAATATAAATGAATCTGTATTACTGTAAACATGTACAACATTTATTTTTAAAAAAATACGAGCTGAGTTTCTTGTCAGTTCACATCTCGAAATCATTCCGAACTGCCGGTAGATTTGACATATCATAAGAGTCTGTAATAGACCTACATGAGTAAAGATATATTGAATTTGAATATTTAAGCGAAACCTTAATTATAGGTAACTACAACATTTATATTAAAACTAGCTGTTCCGGCAAACGTTATTTTGCCTTAAAATAAAAAAAATTAGGTGGACTACCCCTAACATTTAGGGGGATGAAAAATAGATGTTGCCCGATTCTCAGACCTACTCAATACGCTCACAAAATTTCATGAGAATCGGTCAAGCCGTTTCGGAGGAGTATGGGAACGAAAACTGTGACACGAGAATTTTATATATAAGATGTGCTTACAATTACAAAACATTTGACGTTACAAGTTAATGTAGTAAAACGTCAGATCATTCTCGAACTGTTTTTATTTAATGAGGTAATTCTATATACTAAAGCAACACAAACCGTGCAACATACCCACATAAATTAATATTATAAAATTATTACTACATGTATCCCTTAAAGTAATAACGTAATATATTCATGAATAAGCACTATTTCTAAATCTGAAATAGGTTATTAATATTATTTTATACATATATATATTCAACATGCCACTTTCAAGATTCTAATATCGTAATAAATATTATCTATAACACTTACATACAGGTGATATATGTATACTTACAATACAACTAAGCAATTCATTTTTTATATCATTGAACTTTTAGAATAACACTTTTAAATAATCTTATAATTTTAAGCAACACTGACTCATCGTAATTTATTGTATATGTATTAAAATTTTAATTCCAATACTTACTACTTAATTATACATTTTTTTTATTTCATGCTTAGCTACGGCTGCCGCCTGTCTGGGGGTACGCTTCTGGTTTTTACAATTAGACAAATGGTTTTTTACAAGATCTTGTTCTGTATTTGCTGTATTTTTATCTACCTTTTGATATGAATAACATTCGTCACCCTCACTCTCCGCACTTGACCATCTTTCCTCGTCTCCTTCTAGATTATCACTTTTGCCCATTTCAGTTTTTGCAACCTGTATCAGGTGTCGCCTATTTCGCCTGTAACGCCTACCCGAGTCATCACTAACAAAATACGATCGCGGTTGTGATGATCGTGCATCCACTCGTGCCCTTTTTCGGTCGTTTCCGTATCCATCTATCATTATAACAGATTCCCCCGGCCGTAATTCGGGTAAATCGCGTGCATTTTTGTCGTAGTATTGTTTATTATTATTCTGCTTACTTATAATAGTTTTATATTGATTCGTATTATCACGAAACGGATACAACTTACAAATGTGCGACGGTAACCTGGTATTTAGCCTTCGTCCCATTAATAATTGTGATGGAGCGTCTATACCATCTCGTGGAGTCGCTCTAAAATTAAGAAGACCCAAATAAAAATCTGTACCCGACTTCATGGATTTAATGAGAATATTTTTAATAATCTGTACACTACGTTCACTACGACCGTTCGATTGAGGATAATTAGGTGAAGTAGTAGTGTGGTCGAAATCCCAACTTTCACTAAACATTTTGAATTCTTTTGAAGCATACGCCGGACCGTTATCAGTTACGAGTTCCTGCGGTATCCCGTGCCTAGAGAAGTGATCTTTCATTGCGAGAATTACAGCTTTACTATTGATACTAGTCAGCGGACTTACTTCTATGAAGTTTGAAAAATAATCGACGAGTAAAAGAAAATATTTTTTACCGCATTGGAATAAGTCTGAGCCGACTTTGGCCCAGGGCAGGTCCGGTATGTTGTGCGGCACGAGCGGCTCCCGCGGCGGGCGGTGGGCGCGCTCGACGCACGCCGCGCACCGGCGCACGGCGCGCTCCACGTCGCGAGACATGCCCGGCCAAAACATCACGTCGCGCGCGTGCCGCTTGCACCGGTCGATTCCCATGTGACCGTCGTGCACCCGCTGAATCATTTCCGCGCGCAAACTACGCGGTATATACACCAGGTTGTCTTTAAAAATTATACCGTCTATATATTCGAAACTTTCGTTGTATGACCACTGACTACGAACTAGTTCGTCTACATCAAATTTATTACTCGGCCATCCCCTCATTATGTATCGTATTATTGACTTACATTCATCATCTTTCTCAGTAGCATCGCGCACAGCTCTTATTTTACTGTCACTGAATCGAATATTTTGTATTAAAAAACAAGACTGTTCTGTTATTTCGTCTGATATATGATCTTTCATTAATTCGCTTAACGGCGCTCGCGACAATGCATCGGCGATATGCATATATTTGCCCGGTTTATAAATGACTTTAAAATTATATGCTTGTGCGCGAAGCATCATCCGTTGTAACCGAGCCGGAACAGAATTCAAAGATTTATTAAATAAGGCTTCTAAAGGTTTGTGATCTGTTTCGACTACTACATTTTTTCTGCCAAAAATATATTGGTGAAACCGTTCTAAAGCATATACTATCGCCAACAACTCTTTTTCTATCTGTGCATAGCGACTCTGTGTTTCGGTGAGCGTTGAGGAGGCGAACTCGACCGGACGGCCTCCCTGAAGCAACACTGCGCCGAGCGCGCACGAACTTGCGTCCACTGATAACACGACCGGTTCTGTCAACGAGTATAAAGCTAGCACAGGCGCACCGCACACTAATTCTTTTAATCGCTGTACAGCCGCGTCGTGTATGGAGTCCCACTGCCATACTGTGTCTTTTTTTAATAATTGACGTAACGGGGAGGCTACCTGAGAATAATTAGGTATAAATTTTGAAAGATAATTTATCATTCCAAGAAAACGTTCTAATGACTTCCGATCCTGTGGCTTAGGCATGTCCTTAATTGCTTTTAACTTATTATTGTCTACATGCATACCTTCTGAATTAAACTTGTGTCCTAAGTAAGTAACTTGTGGTACACAGAAT